TATACATATATATATATATATATATATATATATATATATATATATATATACATACATATAATTTTATTATGACATATAATATATAATTATAATTATATGATTATAATTAAATTATATTATAATATATATATATATATATATATATATATATATATATATATATATATATATATATTTGGTTGATAGATGTGAGTTTGTGACCCTGGGTTTCACGCTTTAGTGATCGTCAGACAAACTGATTAATGTTTTAAAAAATTTGGGTTCATGTAGATTGCGTGTATTGGTGTCATTGTGAAAGTGGTGGGGGAAATTTCGTCGTTTTGTCATTCCTCGTACTAACGCAAACATCGATATGGATAATCCCAAGAAGGATGAAATCCGGAGAGCTCAATGTAAAATCAGAGCGATTAATTCAATTGTATTCAAGTGTATAAAAAAATATATGCAAATTTAAATTCATTTTTTCACCCTTGGAAGTGTGGGCTGATGAGCCATGGAAAAAGAAATTCCCTGGAGAAATAAATTATAACTAAAGGAGCTTTAAATTTGTCTGTTTTAATTGAATCATATATATATATATATATATATATATATATATATATATATATTGTCATCCACAGACAGACTGTTTCTCTGTATCACAGTTTATCAGTGTGGATAGACATCCGATTACCTCGAGCCATTAGCAGCCGAAGCCGCATAGACAAACTAAGCCTTTAATACATATGCACACTTTAATTATACACTTGAACGCTGATCGTCAGTTCAAATGCACGTGAAATCTGCTTAACCAATAAAAAAACACAAGAATAAAAATGCCCAAAAATCTTTCAATATCTCATTTTCGGATGAAGCTTTAATAAAATCGAAATATGTTAGAGGGATAAACGTCTCCCATTTGTTCTTTATCCTAACATTCTGTCGGGTTCAGATTCACATTTGATCCCAATTCATGTATATGTGTGTGTGTGTGTGTGTGTGTGTGTGTGTGTGTAATAGGCTAAGGAGTAAATAAGAAATCTTTATGAATTTAACATGTTTCACTTTTATTTAAGACTTTTTTTTTAAAAACAGTAAGATCATAATAACAACCTCGTTGTGATGGTGATTTTAAAAAAATCAATCATGAACCCACCCTCATAATTATTTCTAAATTTTAAATTTATCCGTTGTAGCTATAATTTCTTTTGCAAAACAAGCGTCCTAATCTAAGAAAACTGTTTAGAAAATTCTCCGTTCTTAACATCACATACGAACTTAACGATAATAATAAAATCCCCCTCCTTGATGTTTTGATGGTCACTTATAATAAAACATTTACTACCTCTCCATATGAAAAAAAAAACAACTAGCATAAACATGTGCACTCTGAACTATAGAAGTGAATGCCCTGACTATTACAAAAGAGAGATTATACAAAATTTAATACACCGTGCAAAAATTATCCCATACACGAATAAATTTTTCTACACTGAATCGGAAAGCATTAGGCAAATTCTCATCCTCGTTGAAAAAGTTGGACGTGTGTTGTAGAGTAGTTTTCACAGTGGAGGCTTGTATTTCGCTAAGTTGGTCCTAAAAGGGACCGACGTACAAAACGTTAGGAACTTGAAATAAGAGTTAATGACGCAGCAATCTAGTTGTGATGGTTGACACTTCAATGTCCGACATCGACTGACTCACTCAACTCCACTGAGCTCAACTAGCGACCGCTACTGCTACTACTACTACTACTACTACTACTTATTATGTGTGGGAGAGTCTATTACACTAGAATAGGTAATGTTCTGGTATAACAACGAGCGATTAGAAATATTAACATAAACCAAAATAAACATATTTCTTCAAATGGCACTAAACGTATCGACCTGTAGTAATGTAGCCGGGTGCATTCTGGTTGTACGCAGGATAAAGGTGCCAAGTGTTATCTAATGAGTGCTTGCGTATTCCACACTGGTCCCAGTAGGTTTATAAAATAAAATGTATGTTACACTAACTTTAACATAACCAAATTAATCATGCACAGTAACTCTTCTACGTCAACTGGTGTTTTGGTAAAGAACAAGATTGTATATCAATTTCACTATCATTTGGGAGAATGTAACTACATACTTCCTTGTGCAAATTAATTGAAACAACTGCTTTAGTTCTTTTTCTTTCACCTTTCGGTCAGTTTTAGACGCACTGAAGTGACAGGGCGTAATCGATTTCTATTTTTTCCTCAGATTAGGTCATTTGCAGTGGTGTGCAGTAATATGAATGTTTTCGGGGTGCATGATAAAATTTGTTTGGCTTTGCAAAAAACTCCGTCAACTGTGATTGCATCTGATTTTTATCATGCCCAGGCACTATTGTCTCGCATGTCGATTAGTTATCCTACGGCTATTGTTTGCGATGGACGTTACTGCAAGGAAGCGTACGAAAATTGTAACGCTGCTCGAAGACACTGACTAGTCTTACAAGTGAGCAAATCAAAATACTGGCTTGGAAACTCTCCTGATCTAAATCAAATCGATAATCTGTGGTCAATATGCAAGGAACGACTTCGTCGAATGGACATACAAAGTACTAACATGTGCTCTGGGTTAAGTTTCATTGGAAAAATACGAAAAACATGTAAATAATAACGGACTTATTCGTTTTGTTTAAATTAATGAACAAGGGTGTACCTAAATAGCTTTTGTAAATGGTTTGCTTTGGGAGAAACAGTAAAGAGACAAAGATTATTAAGAGTTATAAAGGAAAAGAAGGCTCATAGATATAGCGGAATATGCCTTCCAGAAAATAAGAAAAGTATAAAGAAATAGGAAAATTCCTTTGACAATAAAGAAAATAATTCTTAACATCTATATAATATTTTATTTTCTATCATTTGTTTCCTGTTTAGGATTGGGTTTCCTGTTCTTTCTAAAGTCTTTTCTTTCCTTTTCACCCCCAGTTGAACCTTGCGTCTTAATGGCATTATCAAATGATTAGAGTGAAATGATCAAAGAAAAAATGGTAGTGAATGCTGGACAATTTCCTCACACCTGAAGAAGAGATTTAAAGAGACGCGTTTCTACAGAAGGATATTGAGATTGCTACCAGCATACCATGTGAGTCTAAAAGTAATTAAATACTAACGAGAAACTGATATGAATAAATAGATATTGAAGCATATTATAAGGAAAGAAGGCCTAGAGATTTTAACACTCATAGGACAATAGAAGCAGCGAGTAACATACGTAGCGAATTTGTGTGAATGGATCACTGAAGAAGGACAATGTAGAATGGTAAAGAGTGAATGCAAGGAACGACTTAGTTGAATGGACATACTAACATGGACTCTGAGTGATGTTTCATTGGGAAAATACGAAAACAAAAAGGTAAATAGTAACGGATTTATTCTTTTGTTTCAATTAATTTGAACAAGGGTGTATGTTGGTTTGAAGATCACAAGTTTTTCAAGACATTTTACACTTCCTTTGTCGGATACAAGTTCTATTGCACAGCACTTAAACACATATTCCTGTCCGCCTCCGCAGTCCGGGAGGATGCTTTGTGGTGGCACCATGAAAATAATAAGCAAACGGTCAGCATTCAACAAGGTTTGTCGCGAGTGAATCAGCAACACGTTGAAGTGCATATAACAAACATTTAATGCCATTTTTCATTTGTACCAGCTTCTGGTCAGCTCCCTTATATCGGGACGCTTGTTTTACAATATATTCCATAGCTACAACGGATGAATTTAAATTTTTTAAATAATTATAACAGAGCGCGTTCACGAGTGTTTTCTAAAAATCACCATCACAACGAAATGCAGCTTTTATCATATTTACAATAATTTTGTCTTTGTAATTCACCCCAGATGATGATCTTGGAGGAGATCGAGAATACTCTGGCTAGGAAAAATCTACAGCGCCTTCCTTGATGAATTTCATCTTAACATCAACAAACTGTTTAGAAAATTGGAAAGGATCATTATAAAAAAATAATTAGACATATGCTTAAAATATGTTTAAATCAAGATAATATTTTTGCATTAAATTTGCATAAAATGAAAAAAATCGCATAATATAAGCAGTAAAATACTGATACATCCTGACGAGTGGGCGGACAGCTCCGTCTACGAAACTCTGAATGATGAAGAAAACATCAATCAGCTACGTAACAAATTTTACTCATATATATGTATGTATATATATATATTCATGCATGTTTGGTTAAATAATTTAGACATATTATGTCTATTTGTTTTAGTTTTAATCCTTTCAAGTTCAAAAATTAATTTCTTGGTGTCTGTGGAAAATTGATAACGAAAATTTCCAAAATTTTCTTTTAAATAATATTTATTTTCCAAAGTACTTTTAATCTGATCTTAGATTATCTTCAGTGGTTGCATATCTATGGATGCGTTACGTGTTAACACCGTAAATTCAAAATATATTTAGCTCAATGCAAGGAAGGTAACTTATGTGATTTTGAAAAGATTTTCATGTATGTGAATATTTATATTTATATATATATATATATATATATATATATATATATATATATATATATATATACTTGTGTGTTCCTGTGTGTGTACTCATATATGTGTGCGTGCGTGTCTGTGGATGTGTGTGTGTGTGTGTGTGTGCATGCGCCACTCGGTGTGTGTAGTAGTTGGAGTTGGTTGTGCAACTTTTATGACATTCTCCATATCATTTTAATGCATCAACTGTTGTCGTTTCTTTGCCTATACCGTGGTAAAAGGGTCTCTCCATTTTACGTAGCCATACCGCTGAAGATCTATAATATCGCCCTCAAAGGTATCTACATGATTAATATGCTAGGGCCCTTGTGGTCGGTGGGCTAAGACCTTCCAGTCACAGAGCGATTCCATTAATACAAGAACATAGCGGCTGTTGTCACGGTCCACAGAAATGATCATTTATTGAGCAAACAGGTTTGGAGGGCGAGAACATGTCTGCAAAGTTGATATTCAACTTTTACCCGAGGATAGATGAGTAACTATGCAGATAGATAATATCTATCTATCTATCTATCTATCTATCTATTCTATCTATCTATCTATCTATGTCTATTTATCTTAATATGTGCAAATATATTTTAAACTGTATCTATATCGATCACATTTTGCTCATATCTTAATTTTTGTACATATCTATCCGTCTGTTGAAATTCATTCCTACCTAATGTCTCTCTCTCCCTCCCTCCCTCTCTCTCTCTCTATATATATATATATATATATATATATATATATATATATAGAGAGAGAGAGAGAGAGAGACAGACAGACAGACAGAGTGATGCAAATTGTTTGTTTATAAGAAACGGTATTAACAAAATTTACCGGCCTTAATATCCGAGAAATTTCATCGACAGTATATAAGTATAGTATATATATATATATATATATATATATATATATATATATATATACTGATAGATACAAAAAACACTGATATTACATAGATGGATAAGTAGGAAACGATTAAGAAAGATTGCTGCGTATATAGAACAAAAGATATGTTTTGACTAATATATATATATATATATATATATATATATATATATATATATATATGCACATTTTCACACACACACACACACACACACACACACACACACATATATATATATATATATATATAACTCAGTCTATTCGTGTCAATCTCATACTCTTTACATATGTCTATTTCATTCTCTCCCTGTGTATCTATATATAATTTGTTTGTTGAAAACTATTTATCAATGTTTGTTAGCCTCTATCGATTACAGTACGTTCGTGTCAATCTATCTATCTATCTATCTATCTATCTATCTATCTCATTCTACTTATTATCTATCTGTTCATTATGTGAACTGTTTCATATATATTCTATTTGTCTGCTTATATAATTAATCTATCACATGGTATAGTGAACACCATGTCTTGATAGTCTGAGAATATACTGCGATGTGACTGTCTTCGAGGTAGGTAAATACATTGTGTATGCAATTCACAGAACATATTCAATATACAGTGCCATTATACAAACAATAGTTTTTGAAATGTAATACTATATATTTGAATCTATTTAGCTCTAATTTATTTAGATATCAATATCTTCCTACCTATTTATCTATCTACGGTGGTCGTTCAAAAAGTTCTAAGCCTCAACCCATAGTATTTGGAGAAACAAGACAGTTTCTCACTATTTTTCAGTATAGTCCCCACTGACATCAATGCACTTAGTCCACCGCATTGCAAGCCCATCATAAAAAAGGTAGCAACTTGGTTTATCCCAAACTCTTCTACAGCATTATAAAGTACAATCTCTCGAGAAAGTAGTTGAGCAACATGCTCCATAAGTTTTCTATTGGGTTGAGGTCAGGAGATTGGGGCGGCCATGTCATAACACTCACCTGCTTCTCATCAAAGTATTCCGTCATCAATTTTGATTTGTGACAGGGAGCATTATCCTGCATAAAAATGAGCTTGGTGGGGTCGATTTGCAATCTTTCAGCAGAAGGGAGCAGACAAGACTCTAAAATTCTCTTGTACTGCTCGCTCCTGGGGGTCTTTTCAATAGTTTTCAAGAAACCTGTTCCATGAAAAGAAAAGCATCCCCAAAACATTATACTGAACGGATGCTTGACAGTATTTACTGCTAACTTCAAAGAGCATTCAAACCTTCTTCTTCGGATTTTAGATCGCTTATCCTTTGAATTTAGCTCAACTTTCGTTTCATCGGTGAAGAGAACATTTATTAAAAAAAATCAGGTTAGTCACTTTTATCGAACAGCACTGTGTTGTGGATTCCGAGATGAAATTCAGTCTCCAATGAATGACAAACGCAAGAATTAAATATAACAAATAAATGTATTTACACAATAATACAATTGGTAATACTGTTAGTAAATCCAGAAACGCGGTTAGTAGCAATAATAATATATATATAGATACTGTCTCGAAGCAGGACTTCCTTAGAGTCTACGTGCTTGTAACTGTGACTTCTACAAGCGGTTACCTCACACTATTACTCTACCTCCAACTCAATCACAATCTCTGTCTCACTCTCTCTGACTTCTCTGACTGACTCTAGGTATTTAACGGCAGCAGTCCAAGTCCACACTGGTCGAGTCCACTTGTATGAAAAAGGGGTGGACCCCATAACAACTGTAATTCGTTTTCTAGACTTTCTGAAAACTCATTATTTAAAAAAAAGAAAAATAGTAAGTTTGCCCTATTAACTTTATTTTTATTTGATATGAAATCCTATCAGAAGTTTAAATGCTACAGGTTACGGCCATATCACGTTAAAACATCGGTTCTTGTAAAATCACTTAAGTTAACCAACGCCTGTATGTAGATGGGTGATTGCTTGCGAATACCAGGTGTTCTAATCATGGGTGTGCGGCTGGTGTAATAGATAATGATTCGAAAATTTTAATCGGTTCCAAGTTCCAATTGCATAAGAATTCGTTATATTCACTTATGCTCAAAATTCACTTAAGAAATCTATGAATCCAACTTCTCTCCCCTCCAGCTATGGAGAAAATAGTAAAATTAATTTCCACAAGGGTGTATATATAAAAAAGAAGAAAGAAACAATGAAAGAATAAAATCATTGAGTAATTGATAACGCTGTCTTAGTTTAGACGTCTGCTTCAGTGAAATAGAAAAACACGCCATTTTAAATATTTTCAGACGTACCTTATTTCGTCGTTAAATAATAACGGTCCTTTATACTTATGACTGTTATTGGAATATTTTGTGAAAGTTTTTATAATAAAATATCTAACAATACATAAGGGAAAATTCCACATTTTTTTCACCTGTGGATATCCTTTTCGATTTCTTGCTTACAATCTTCAAAACTTAAAATGCAACACCGATCGCCATATTCTGGCTTTATGAGCCATTTTCTTCTATTGTCCTTTCTACTGATTTCCTCGTACGGAAGTTTTCTCATTCTCTTTCATTCCCAGTAATAAGATGCGTCCTAGTGGCTATCTCGTCTTCTCTTGCGATGGGGAATGATAAAAATAAATATTTTATAATCTTGGAAATCGTAAGAAGTATATTCAATCATTAAAATAAGAATTAATAAAATTAATTTACATTTTAATAAGAAAGCCACGTAACATTCATATATATTGCCTGTATATCTAAATTCTAGAGATAAAACTGTCAAACTAACATTATATTTTAACCTTTCTTTTTCCCTCAAGATGTAAAGGTGTGTGTCTGTGTGAGCAGGCGTGTCATGCATGGAGTAGAATTTCAGCTAGAATTTTCAGTAAGTTGAGATTACGTTGTCATATAAAACTTGGAGAGAGGTGAAGTCGGATGCCAACCATTTTAAATGTTTGTGTCCTCAATGTCAAAAGAGCAATTTGGCAAGCAGTATCGCCCTATTAAATAAAATAAGTCCGTTCGGTAGAAACAGACTGCAATACGTCCGCTATAGTGAATTCGCCATTCCTCTATGGATTTCAGAAAGAAAGAAACGGGGGACAACATCTCGAAATAATTGTTGTAGGTTGTAGAAGAGATCTTGAAAATAACTAAATGATCCGCTGTACGAAGAATAAGTACAAGCTAATTCCTCATTTGATAGGTCGATATCTTTAATATATATATATATATATATATATATATATATATATATATATATATATATATATATATATTGTTTCTTCATACAATCTGAAAATATATCATTGCCAAGCAATGACATTCAGAAACAGTTCAATTTATTTTTCGTCTATTTAGTTGCCCTTCTGGTTTCTCCAACGGGAAACATCCAAAAACTAATTTCGGAAGTATTTAAATCTTACAACATTCTTCGGAGATATTTATTTTTCTCCCTCAAGTACTGGAATTTGATTTTCATGCATATACTTTTGCTCTATTGCATTATAATGGATGTTAATTTGTTTCAAAACTATACGGTATTATATTAGCTGGTAACAGGCAGTGTCGGTAGTATACGGAGTTTGCTAGAGTGGCTAGCTAATCCCTGTTGCAGGCGCCTTCTTATGCACAGTTTTGTTTGTTCAACATCTCAGATCTGAACTGGGGTTTATAATGCAACTAAGTTGAGCCTGGAGGCAACAGAAATGTTGTTCTACAGATTGATTTGTTTTTTACGGCTTATCAACCCTTTGTGGGTTATTTAAATCCGAAACATTTTAGATTTGTTTTAAGCGTGTCCCCCCCACAAGCAATGCAGTAGAGCCCTTGAGACAGAAGGGGTTACTGAGCGTGGAAGAATTAGAAAACAGAAATAACGAGCCGAAACAGAGGAAGTGTAATCAAGAGAACAGCAGAAAGCGATTAACATTGCATTTAAATTTTTGAAGATTAAAGTTAACTGGAAATCATGAAAATAGAAGGGAGTTCCAAAAGCTAGAACTGCAAAAAAAATGAACGGTTGTCATAGAAGTTGCGGTTATATCTAGGCAGCTCAATAGTTAATTGATGGAACTTTATTGCCAGTCAATTACTGCGCTTATAATCGAAGCGCCTGGGGTACCTCTAGGCGGTGTAATGGTTAGCAAGCTTATCTCGGTAGAAGAATTACGACTGAGTAGTGAGTTAGATCCTCACTGGGTACCCCATACTTTCCGGCCTTTTGTCGCATCTAAGCTATCTTTTGAAAATCACTATAATCGAAGAGTCTAGGCACTGTAAAGAAGAGCAATATTCATTTTGTAAAATATACAAAATGTGGGACAATACCAAAAGAAGAAATGTGGAAGAGATGTCAGGATTAGGATTAAAGTCTTTCCCCTCGCCACATAAATAGATTAAGAACATCTGAATGTATACGTTTCTTCACGAGATTTGAAAACGAATATATTACCTATGTTTCACAGACTACTGCGGATACTTCATCAGAACAATTACCATGAAAATATTTATAGAAGAAAGCTACGTTACGGTGGTGGGAAAGAGACTGAAGACAAGATGCCAGGTCAGAACCAATAACATTGCAGATTCTTATTTCGAATTTTAAAAAAAAATCGAGTTCACCTCAAGCAAGGCAGCAAAGTCACCAAGACGCAAGTGGTTACTGGTTGTGGAAGATTTAGAAATAGGAAGATTGCTAAGGGGCGAGAACTGTGGGATATTAATCAAATGGGACATTAGACAGCGATTGAAATTACATTGAAATCTTTGGCGATTACATTTGGCTGGAAAGCATGGAACCAGAAAAGAGTTCCACAAGCGAGAAGTGCGATAGAAGAAACTGTTAGCATAGAATTTACGGTTACATCTAGCCAGCTCAGCAGTGAACTGATGACACATCGTCCCTAGTCCACTACTGTGTTTAAATTCATAAAGTCTAGGTACCATAGCGAAGAGCCCATCCGTACAATTTCCATGACAGTATTCATAAAAATGGCACAGGAAGCAACTTTCCGGTGCTGGGAAAGTGACTGAAACCGAGACGCTAGATGAGGACCAGTAATATTTCTGATTCTTCTTCGGACCTCTCTACATATAGCAGCAGCACCGGACCATATATGGAAGAAATATTCTTAATAAGGACAAATGGTAGACTTGTAGATATCTTACTTATTCTAAAACGCATATTGTGTGTGTATGTTTGTGTGTGTGTGTGTGTGTGTGTGTGTGTGTGTCTGTGTGTCTGTACGTTTATATATTGGATCGGATTTCCTACATTTTTCAACCGATTTCAACAAAACTTCACAGAACTACGTAAAATTAGCTTGCGGTGGTTCTGACAGCGCCCCAAATTGGAAAACACAATTGTTTTTGCATGAAATCAATTTAAAAACACGATAAAACAGGATTCTGTTGCCAGAATGAAAGGGGGACAACTCATATCGAGTTATACTTATTATAAAACCCAAGTTGTTGGTGTGTGTGTGTCTGTGTTCGTTTATATATGGGATCGGATTTCCTACATTTTTCAACCGATTTCAACAAAACTTCACTTTTTGGGGGCAGGTAGTGTTTCTTATTGTCTTGCACACTTTTTTCTTTATTTTTACATTCAGAATGCTTTAAAAATTCCATTTACAAGACAATTGTTTATAATAAAATTCTATTCAATCGACAGACTCATAACGATTGAAAACAATGTTTTTGTTTGGGTTTGACCAATTCGTAAAAAACACCCCAAAAAACACACAAAAAAACTAATTATGACAAGCGTGTCCGTCAACCTTAAACAATAATCTTTGTCAATTTTATTTTTCAGTCTTTATGATGGTCGATACTTGATCTATCTCTTACTGTTACATCCCCGGGCAACGCCAGGCTCTACTGCTAGTTTAAGATAGATTCAGGAGAGACAAAATTGTCTAGTACGACACAGGGAATCAACTTTCTTAGCAGCTAACCTAGCAATGGTTTCAATAGAGTTTTTCCTTTTCAATTCATATCAGCCGAGAAAATTAACCCAAGTAGGTTATGATGCGTTATGCTGATGGAAGACAGAAAGGGATTTCTCGGATGATTAATAGAAAGACGTTCAGTTTCGGAGACTTTAAATTTGACAAGCCATCCTTCGTCCCAGATAACAACATCGTTTTTGACATATCAGCTCCAACATGACGTTTCCCCCGGCCTCTCTGTACTCAAGCTCGTTCTAATCATCTGATCGTAGAGTTGATCGCTTCGGCCCAAGTCTTGTCTCGCCCTACGTTGTGCTAATTGATCGCAAGACTGGATTGGTCCGAATAGTCGACTGGAATCGATGACATGGTTTGATCCGGTTAGAATAAAGTTGCACAAAAAACATAAACTGGATAAAAGCAAAAGTATTTATATAAAATTCCTTGATACAAAGTTGATTGTACAGATATTGATGGGTTAAGCAGACCTATATTCTCCATGCAATAACTATCGACCCTCCCTGATTATAGTGACACATCGTTTGTTGTTATGGTTTAAAACGAGGCTTCAGGAACAAGGCTTTAATCAGAGATTTTTCTTCAGGGTGGCGAATCACATCACATCAGATCAGGCGACGCGATGGTTCTCGTTTCTGTGTTCAGTCTCATCTCCGCAACGTCCACTGTCCGTGTCTTTCGGGAATCTGTTTTTATGGGCTCCTGCGCAAGGGCTGGAATGGGGCATGATGTGTTCTGGGAATGCCAGCGTTCCTAAAACAACCAATCATTGCTCTCCCTGCAAATGTCAAAATAGTGGGGAGCCCCTGTTCCCACCCTTGAAATTCTACCTGGCCTTCTCTTTCTTTTGGTCACCTGATCAAACCCAATTCCTTCTTCCTTTGTGTGAGTACCTCTCACCATCACTACCCGAGAAGTGTCGGAAGTCCTGCGCCTTACCTAGAATTTCACCTGGGCCTTTACCTTTTTGCTCACCTGGTCAAACCTGTCTCCAAGAGCTATACCACTTCTAGCCCAAACGGCCAAATTTTAATTATTGTTCAAAATTCTTTCCTATCGTGTTTTTGTGTATGGTCGTTTTCACAATTTTATTTCGTCGTCAACCTTTTGGTCAACAGGAGACAAAAAGGGGACTGTCCCTTGATTTGGAAAATTGTATCGCCTTTCGGATGATCAAAAATATAATTACCATTCTTTTCCTATTTTATTTTGTATATTTGTCGGCTTTTAAAATTTAATCCTTATCAATCGACCGAATTCGGGGCCAGAGGTCTGTCTTCCTCTCCGTCACTCAATTGTCGTAAAATATTATCTATTTCTTTCCAGGAGGTCCTTGGACCTTCAAGAATATGCCATGACTTAATCTCAGTCCTGACCAAAACCCTTTGGTTTCTTTTTTTTTACATCTCCGGCAGACGAAAAATTTAATTTCGATTCTGTTTCTATTTTCCTTCGTCTGGTCATCAGTATATCTTCAGTCTCTCGAAAATTAGTGTTTTTCTGTGTTCTAGGTTTTTTCACTTTACTAGCGCCTTTCCAAAAGTGTCACACCAATTTGACCCTATCAAACTAATCTGACTTACCATCGAGACAAGTGTAAATGGTTGTTTCATCAGCATTGATACCAAGTTGAAAACTGATGCCATCGAAATATATCGTTAATGAAAATTAAAAACGAAAAAAGTCGAACCAGGGTTAGAGACCTGAGTAACACCTGCATTAGTGCAAAAGGATCTAGAAGATTGGCCGTTCAAGATAACATTCATTTCACGATTTTATAAGAAATAATCAGTTTGAAAATTTGTCCTGAGTCACCGTATCTTTTCAATTTCTGAGGAAGACCTCTATGCCAAACCCTGTCGAAAGCTCTGTATTCACCCTTCTCATTTAGAGTTTGATAGACTCTATCCGCAATTATAGTTAGTACATTATCAGTTTACCAAGAGAAACAAAAACCATACTGCTTCTTTGAAAAAAGGCTCTGCGTTGTGAGAGGCTTAAATAATTCAGCATTGATTAAGGTCTCTAGTTCCCAAATGAAGGTAGAAGGCTAATTGGCCGATAGTTGGAAGAGTCAGATCGTTCACCTGAGTTCTTAAAAACTGGAAAAACAGATGAGGATTTCCAGCAGGCAGCGAAGCATTTGTTATACATTTCAGAGAGAACAGGAGCCAGAGACTATTACAGGAATACCATCAGATCGCAATGCTTTGTAGGATCAGATTAGAGATGGTAAAAAAACCCAAAGAATTAGTTATATGCACATCATTCAACAGATAAAAATTACATGAAGAACTATGGGATATTAATCAAAAATATCTCCGGCAGACGAAAAATTTAATTACCATTCTGTTTCTATTTTCCTTCGTCTGGTCATCAGTATATCTTCAGTCTATTCTCGTTTCTAAGCGGGAAGTCAGGTAAGGATACTCCGGAAGAGTCAAGAGTGGAGTTTAAGGAGTATTTACAAGCGAAACATTCAGCTTTATCAGCAGAAGAACAGCTCAAATTGATTTAAGAGAGGATGAAGAGAAGACTTACTCTTATTTAAGATATTGTTACACATCCGCTTGTAGTCATGAGAGCCAGAGATTTTATGGGCTATACGATAACCCATTCTTTCCGCCAACAGAGGCTTAGATCCTTCGAGGTCACGTTTACATCAATTACGTGCAGACACAAATAGCCGCCCGTTGTGACAGGAACTGTAACGCTGGAAATAATGGTTACTCTAGTTACTTTTTATTACTGCATTTTCTCCGTGATATACCATCTATTAACACAAACATTTCACAAACTGTGACATGTGAGTGTTAAATTCCTCGAGCCTTCTTTCTTCATTACAAAATTATAACTTCCAGTTGTTTCTCTCTGATTGTAAGTTTAAATTACTTTGTATTACCTATTTTCTTTAAAACGATTTACTTTTTCTCATATTCTTTCACACTCAGTAACATATTTCGTCTTATGGTTTTCACTGCCTTGCTTGGATTGAAATGATTAATAAAAAATTCTTGCTCTTTGCCGACATTTTCTATCTATCTTTTGTCGGCAGAACCACATCTCTGTAGCTTCAAGTTGTGAAGAGATTGTCTAAAATTCTAAAATGTCACTTCAACCAAGTTTTATGTGCTTTCTTCTCACTGTGCTAATAATACTGGAATAAAAACAGATTTCTCAATTCTATTGACAATATACCGTTGTGTAGATTTCTGTATATATCGTTTTCGCTTCATCGAATAAACCAATTTACAACTGTTCGAAATAGATTGACTTTGCCGTAGAATGTTATCAACACACGTAGATTATCAGTTGCTAAAATCAAATTGAAATATGCTAGTTAATCTACAAAAGGAAAAGCCCGGCTCAAAAGTCATTCGTTTATCAACTTTGCTTCATTCTATCATTCCAACAAGTATGGGATTCCTTAAAGTAAAATTTTTGAAGATTAAAGTTATCAGGGAAGCAAGTAAGAGGAAGGGAGTTCCACTGATGGGAAGTGCTAGAGAAGAAGCTGTTGGAATAGAAGAGGCAGTTACATTTAACTGCTTTGACTGTAAAAGGGTGGAACAGAGATGCCAACCTAGTAGAAATCTTAAAGTTATGCAGTCGGGATATCTTTGAAAAAAAGCTTGTCAGGGCAAATACCATGAAAATATTTATAGAAAAGACAGAGGGAAGCCACATTACGTCGGGGAGAAAATGACTGGAGCCGAGACTCCAAGTCAGGATCGATCGCATTACATATTCGTCTTTGGATTTTGTCAATGAACAGCGGAGACACCAGACCGTATATGGCAACAGTATTATTTGAATAAAAACAGATTTCTCAATTCTATCGACAATATACCGTTGTATAGATTTCTGTATATATCGTTTTCGCTTCATCGAATAAACCAATTTACAACTGTTCGAAATAGATCGACTTTGCCGTAGAATGTTATCAACACACGTAGATTATCAGTTGCTAAAATCAAATTGAAATATGCTAGTTAATGTCCAAAAGGAAAAGCCCGGCTCAACAGTAATTCGTTTATCAACTTTATTTCTTTATCTATTTAGCAATGGCCTCCAATATATATCTATTGGCTGAGAAAACAACTTGTTTCATTGGTCTATAAAAAAAATGAAAAATATGTTACCATTCATAGTGTTGTGGTGTCCTCCCTCTAAGAAACTATGTAAGACTCTTCCGCCTACTATAAGTTTAGCAGGAGAGAAGGATCGGGGGAAAGGGAACTGTGAATAGATTGAGCGCTAGTTCATTCGGTACACTCTCACTAGTCGTGTAATACTTTTCTGTTGCACTTACTGTTTAATATACAATATATCTGCAAACCTGGTTTTTGTTATTACTTAACCATTTACTTGGTCACAACTCATGGTAAGCCTACGAGTTAAAGTTTGTGTCTTGTTTAAGAAGTTGAAATCCGAATTCTTTTATTATGTGTTTTTTTTTAGGTTTTAATTAAGGGCAATAAAGATGGAATTAAATCTCCCTTTTTGTTGTTTGGTGTCTTGTTATGGAGTACACGACTCATGGTTGCTGCATTCTATCACTCCAAGAAGTATAGGACTCCTTAAGATAAATATGAAATGTCTATGACTGGAGATTTTCAATATTCATTGTCGAGCCTTCATAGGTTTTCTAAATCATTTACGCGGTCTTGTAGGGATGATGTATTTTCCATTCTACAACATGTTTCCTACGAACGCAGCATTGCAAGACAGTTGATTATCTGCCGCTATTTCCATATCAATTGTTCAGATGATCTCCATTCTTTAATTCCAACATTAATTCTTTACAATATCGACAATTTTCGATAGTCTAATTTTCACTTCATCAAATAAACAGATTTATAACTTAATTCCTTTTAGCAATGGCCTCTAATATTTTTTTTCTTTTTGCTATAAAAATCTCAACATCCACTGCCTGAGAAAACTTGTTTCACTGGAATTTTTTTGTCTATAAATATAAACGAAAAATCACAGTTTCCATTCGTAGTAAGTGAAAGAGTATATGATTCCTTAAGCCTAATATGGATTGTTTCTGACTGGAGATTCTTAATATTCATTTTCTGGGCTTGATTGGAGTTTTATGTGTTGTGGCCTGTTTAGAACACAGAGAGAAAGACACGGAAGACGAAGTTAGGTTGAACAAGTGTATTGAAAAAACAGATATATACAAAGCAAGAGTGTTAGTAATTAGCAGATAGAGGTGTACGTCCGAACGGTAGGTTAACACTGCGTCTACGCTCACCAACCGACTGCTCAACAACTCTTGGTATATATATATGGTAATATATATATATATATATATATATATATATATATATATATATATATATATATATATATATATATATATATATATATCTGTGTGTGTATGTGTGTGTGTGTGTATATATATAGATCTAATTATATATAGTAACTTTTAACGTATAAACAATATATATACATATATATATATATATATATATATATATATATATATATATATATATATATATATATATATGTATATATATATATATATATATATATATATATATATATATATATATATATATATTATCATGTATTTCATTTCCATGCAAGAATTTAGACAGATTCTGCTTATTTGCTTCATTTTGACGGAACACCTTGTCGATTTCGATATGTGTCAACTTAAAATGAATATTTTCGACTAAGAGGAAGCAGCAGTTTCCACATAACAATTCTTGCTTGCTGTCTATAAACTTTTTTGTTCTGTGGCGTGAATCAGGAGGGGGAGATGGAGAGTGAGGTGTGTGTAGTGAAACAAGTTGTTTGTGATGAAAGACTCAGCTTCTCCCTTAGATCAAATTAGACATTTAGGGAAACGATTTCGGATAAAATGACAAGTCAGTTCTTTCGGCATTGCGAACGAAAATTGGACGAATAAGCAGAGTGTTGTATTTAGTCAAAAATCGAATTAATCGATATGTCATAGCAAAGCACTAATGAAGACAGTTTCTAAAGGGTTTTTTTATTA